AGAGTTAATGAGTCAGATTTAATGGGAATGCCAATATGTAAAGAGCCACGAAGATATCGTAGTATCCGTTTTAGATTATATGTGGATAATATTTCAGGTGCAGGGCCTCCAGTCTGAAGATCTTTCTGTCGAGTTCAGCTTTTTGTTTTGTAGCCTTTGGTAAGCTTTCTTTTGTAGCATGTGTGGCTAGTGTAAATATTTCTTTTGGACTCTTTTGTCTGTTCTCTGATTGTACTATATGTGAATTATAGTATCCGCTGTTGTTTCTTTTCTGTAATGTAATTATCTCTGGCTCTGGATATATGTATGGATGGATAGATGAGGAAACCGATAGAAAGAAAAAAAAAAGAGGCAATAGAACGATCAGATGAATCCTTTCGCTAAACGGATCTTGGGTTGTTATAGGGAATCAGCTGGAGAAGTGATCTTGGCTGGCATCGTGGTGGACACAGGTCTGCTATTGAGCATACCCGCATGCTTGAGTATCTATTCGGCATAGCTCGCTTGATATGAAATGAGGCCTGATGAGTTTTGTTCAGCTGTAATACCCAAGAAGTACTTTAGATCACCCAGATCTCGCATATTAAAGTGTTTATTTAAGTGCATAAGAAGATCTGAAATAGATTTTGGGTTGTTGCCTATTAGAATTATATCATCCACATATATTAAGAAGTATAGAGTTATACCATTTTTTCGATAGATGAGAAGGGAGGAGTCAGAGTGACTGGTATGGAATTCCAGTCCATGAAGAAACTCTGTTACCGCTTCAAACCATTTTCTCGGTGCTTGTTTGAGGCCATATATGGCCTTCTTTAGCTTGTAGACATGCGTGAGGTAGTTTGTATCTTCGAAACCCTTTGGTTGTGTCATGTAGACCAAATTTGTAAGAGAGCCATGTAAAAAAGCATTTAATACGTCTAGTTGACGTATCATCCAGTGATTGTGCAAGGCAATGACTAAAAGAATGCGAAGAGTAGTTATTTTGGCCACGGGACTAAATGTTTAAGTGTAATCTAGGCCGAACTCTTGGTTACAACCTAAAGCTACTAACCGTGCTTTATACCTTGCGACCGATCTATTAGAATGGCGTTTTGTTTTAAATGTCCACTTACACCCCAAAATATTTTGATTTGTAGACGGGGGCACAAGTTCCCATGTTCCTTGTGATTGCAAGTCTTGAAATTCCTGAGACATTGCTAGCCGCCAGTAAGCATGTTGAACAGCTTGAGTGTCGTTGGTTGGATCTTGTTCAGAGACTTGATGAGTTAGATTAGTATGTGTTTTGGTTTGAGATGCCCAGTCTATAAATGAGTTTTCATAGGATGCTCAGTCTGTAAATGAGTTTTCATGGGATGCTTTGTCACAGTGGATTGATAGATCGGAGCTGCCGATGTGAGCTGTTGTTGTTCGGTATGATTGTTGGGTGAGGCAGTGGATGTTTGAGTAGTAGAATTGTGTGATGCAATGCTTTGAGGGATAAGTTGCAAGATCTTGTTCGGGGTGTGAACAGGGGCTGGGACAAGTAGTAGGGGAGGAGTGGAGTGGTGAGATGTGCTGGTTACAGGTGTAGTGTTGCTTAGGGATGATTGTTGAAATGGAAATATTTTCTCGTTGAATACAACATGCCTGGATGTGTAGACGCAGTTCGTTATAGTGTCGAGACAGCGATACCCTTTTTGAGATGACGAATATCCTATGAAGACACATGGCACCGAGAGAGGAGAGAGTTTTGAATTTGCATATGGATGCGGCCACGGGTAACATAGACAGCCAAAGATTTTTTGGTGATCATATGTTGGTGGTTTATGGTGTAGTTCTTGAAACAGAGTAGAGTTGTTGAGAACAGGTGTAGGGAGACGATTGATTAGGTAGACTGCGGTGTGAAGGGCTTCAACACAAAGATTATGGGGTGTATGTGAGTGAATTAGAAGACTCCTTACCATTTCAAGAATATCTATATTTTTCCATTCAGCCACTCCATTTTGAGGTGGGGTGTAAGGGCAAGTGAACTGATGTTGAATACCCCTTTGTTTGTAATAGGTAGTGAACGAGTTATTTATGTATTCGCCTCCACCGTCTGTACGAATGATTTTGAATTCTTGAATTAAACTGATAGTGAACATGTTTATGAAAATTCACCCATGTACTGGTAACATCAGATTTTCTTAAAATTGAAAAAATCCAGTAGTATTTGGTAAAATCGTTAATAAAAGAAACAAAATAACGAAATCCTTGTGTTGGTTGTACTGGGGAAGGTCCCCAGACATCAGAATGCACAAGTTGGAAAGGAGCATTCGTAGAGGAAGAAGAGTGCGAAAACGATAAGCGTTTACTCCCCATACAGCAAGTATTACACATATTATTTAGTAAGGTACATATATTAGCATCAGTTTTAGCAAGATGCCGAAGAAAAGAGATCGCGGGGTGGCCGAGACGGTTATGCCATAAGCTTAGAACGGCTTCAGTCGATAGAAGAGCAAGATGTGAGACCGAAGTAGTCGAGGCAATTTTGTATAGACCGTTATGGCACGGTCCTTGAAGAAGAAGATGCTGCGTCCTCGAGTCCTTGATTTGATATACATGAGAGGAGAATGAAACCATGCAATTATTTTTTGTGGTTAGTTGATGCACAGAAAGGAGATTAAAAGATAAATTTGGTACATGAAGAAGCTCGTGTAGATAGAGGTTACCTGAAGGTGTAGGCAATATGTCTTTACCTGTATTGTGAATTGGGAGCAGCTGTCCGTTACCGATGACGACTTGAGAGGAGCCATGATATGGTTCTGTCATGGTTAGATGAGTCAGATCAGCAATGAGGTGTGAGGAAGTCCCACTGCCAAGAAACCAGTCAGTATTACGATTACCTTATGGAGCAGAGAAGAGAGCTGTATTGTTGGTGTTTTCGGCATAAGAGGGATCCATGTGATACCAACATCGAATGACAGAATGCCCTGCTTTATTGCAGATTTGACAAATGGTATTCAGATGGGGATTCTTTTCTCTTCGACCTGCAGAGTAGAATGAGCTACGACCTCTGTTTCCACGAGTAGTAGTGGATCTGTCGCATCCTCGACTGTGAGTAGCGGCCAGAGCAAGGGAATTGCCAGTTAGATTTAGAGATTGCAGATCCTTTGTTGTTTCTTAGGCAAGAATCTGTTCTTCGCTGCACAGGAGACTGTAAAAATCGTCAAGTGTTATCGGTTGAAGGTTCGTGCGGATGGCCATTTTGAATGATTGGTACGTGGAAGGGAGCCCGTTGAGCGTGTATAGAATCACATCTTCAGGGCCAAGATTGTTTCTAGTGGCTTGAATGGCATTTACCTTTGATTTGATATCAAGAAGGTACTGGGTCATCGGTTTATCACCCTTGGTCGTATGATGAAGCTCGTTTTTTAGTTGGATGATCCGAGACCTCATCGTTTCTTGTAGGCGATGCGCTAGAGTGTGCCAAATTTCGTGAAAGTGTGTTAAGGTGAGAACGTATTGAAGGATCGAAGGCGAAATGATCGAGTAAAGCACTGCTGCAAGGTTTTGATCGGTGAGATTCCAGATGTCGTGCAAGGCCGGGGAGGTTGTTCTAGAGTTGCCTGCAGATTCTTGAGGTAGGGGACACAAAGAAGTGCCATCAAGAAACGCCTTGAAGCCATTGGTGGTGAATACCTTTTCCACTTGCGATCTCCAAAGCATGTTGTTGTCCGACAAAAGAGAATGAGGAACAAGGTTCTTGATATTATTCATCAGAAATTTAAGTTGGGTAGATATGGTAATGGAGACCATCGATGAGGTGGTCGGAGATGGGAGATGACGTGACCGAACCAGCTATTGATGACAAAAAAGGAAGAGAAAGAGGGAGAGGAGGGAGGGAAAAAGAAAATCACGGAATGGATCTTGATACCACGTTGAGTTTCAGCGTCAGAGGTGCCAGACAAAAACAGGAAAGGGAAAGTATGATGGCAAAGAAAGCGTATTCACTGATCTCTTTTGCCCAGGGGATATACCCGGGTATAAATAGTTTTTACAATGAGGTTAACAAACAAGATTTAAGAGAATAGACTCTTATAGGCTGATTTATTTTGTTATTTATCTTTATCTGTTAATAATTTCTTCTTTAAAAGAAACATAGTGTATGCGAATTCCACAGACACTTTGGATATTCCATTTTGTTATATTGGTCTCAAAGGATCTTTTCGTGTCATCTTATATGTTTTTAATTTGAACAAAATAAAGAACAAATATTAGTTCACTGTTCATATCGAGAAATAATTAATATATATAAATTTTCAAACTTTCTCTTGCAAAAAAAAAGTAAATATAAAGAAAAGCACAATGAAAGTTCAGCTAAAGCGTAGTGAAAGCGCAGTGATAGCCCAATGAAAGCGTGAAAGTGCAGTAAAAGCACATTAAAAGAAATAACAAAAGCTTTAAAAAGCTTCAAAAACATAGTGAATATAAAGAAAAATGTAATAAAAGTATAGCGAAAGCACAGTTGAAGTGCAGTGAAAACGAAAAAAAATACAATTAAAGCCCAATGAAAGTGCAGCAAAAGCACAACGAAAACGTTGTGAAAGAGCACTGAAAAGTGCCATTAAAATATGTAGTCATATATTTTAAAGCTATACAACATACTTTTAAAAATTGAAGAAGTCGTTATATAAATTGATACATTGAAAACATATGCAAACCAAAAGCACACTTACAGGGCAGTTGAAACAATGCTAAAATGAACAAAAATAGCTCAAAAATTTTAAAGTAAACAAAAAACAACCTAATGTTTAAAATAGAAAAATTTGGTACGGTATCGATACATGTGAATATACAATGAAAGCGCATCAAAGACATAACAAGTTCTTGTACTTGTTTGCACCTGGAGATGAACTTTTCACCGATTGAAATGTGAAATGAAATGCAGTGAAGTGTCTAGAATACTAAACTAGAGAGAAAATAAGAAGTGAAATGCCCCGATGAAAGGTAAAATGATCTAGCTCCAAACTTTTGAGCTCTTGGGGATTAAAAATTTTTATCTATGAACCGGATCCAATCAATCAGAATGAGCAGACATAAATAAAAAATAAAATACAAAGCGTATATCAGGATTTAATCAAGTCCCGACCAAAATGCACTCTATCAGCACGGCGCGTCTTTCAGGGCAAATTATTGGGTCAGGTGACCGAAGCCATCTCTCCGTTCGGTCGCCAATAGAAATGCGACATCTGTTAGGCATTTTTTTAATTTAATATTTACGCTTTATGTCTTTTCAGAGTTAGCGACCCGACCCGATAACGCTTTTCATTTGAATTTCGGAAAATAAAGAAGACCAAAGAGGTTATCTCTGTCGATAATATAATAGTTGAATCACGACCTGCATTGAAAATTATGGATTATCCAGGGAAGCCTTTTCTATCAGAGCAAAAATAACAATTTATGGATGAATGTTTCAAAAAAATTAATACAAAGTAAGTTTAGTTGCGTTTTAGTTGCGCTATAGTTGCGCTATAGTTGCGCTATTGTTGCGCTATGGTTGCGCTATGGTTGTGCTATGGTTGCGCTATGGTTGCGCTATAGTTGCGCTATAGTTGCGCTATGGTTGTGCTATGGTTGCACTATGGTTGCGCTATGGTTGCATTATAGTTGCGCTATAGTTGCGCTATAATTGCGCTACGGTTGTGCTATGGTTGCGCTATGGTTGCGCTCTAACATTATATTTTTATTTGTTTTTTGTAGGGAGCACAAAATATTTGCATCTGGAAACATTGAAATAAAAAGATCAAATATTGACTTTCTGCTCACAAATGATTGGTTAGGTGATAAACATGTTGATGCATTTGCTTTCTTTTTACTTGAGCAGAGTAGGTTAATGGCGGAGAAATTTCAACGTTATTTGTATATTTCTTCATTGTAGAGGGTAAGTATAAATAATATTTTAATATTTTTTTTCACGTTTGTTTTTCCTTATAGAACTGAATTATTGCAGGTATACAAGTCATTAAATCTGGATTATCAAATTTTTATCAAACACATTAATCCAGTTTCAGTTCAAGAAAGCAAACTTATTATTTAACCCATAATTTACGAGAAGCACTGGGTTCTTCTTGTTGGAAAATTGAAGGAGAAAGTCTGGAAAATGTATGACTCATTACCAAATCCTGAACACAAGAATATTTGTCATACAGTTGTAAGTGCAATTTAAATTTTAAGTTAAATCCAGATTGCTATGTTTATATACATAATAAATTTTTAAAATGTTTTATTCGTACAGATAAAGTATTTGCACGAGGACACCACTCTGTGGCTTTTGCATTTTGTCTATGATTACCTTTCTCATCCAAAAACTAGCTAATAAGCTATGACCTGAATGTTTAAATTGGTAAAGCTGCTTGAATAGAAAAAACGTTTTGTAATTTTAGGAAATATTTAACTTGTTAATATATCCGAGCAATTAAATGCCCATTATTTGAACTGTTTTTTTCTTGTTAAATTTTATAACATTTCAATTAGATTAGTAATGATTGCATTATCATCGTTGGGATATAATTATTGATAATTTAAGTTGTTTGATAAAACTAAAAATGTTAATTGTGGATGCCTCTGGCAATATTAGAATGTAGATATTGAAAATTGGATTATATGAGAGATTTGTAGTATTTATTAAGACAAACTACTAAGTACTCACCTTTCCGATTCATGCACTCCCTCTTCCATGCCCTCTTCCACCTCCCTCTTCGCTGAGCAGTCCATTTCTTCTCTGCAATTTTCTGGCTCGTTTTTTCTTCTACAGCAGTCTTTATTTGCGTCTTTCGCGGCTTTCAAAATGAAAAAATAGGGCGGTAAATGCTTAAAAGTTCAAATAAAAAGCGTTATCGGATCGGATCGCTAACTCATGTACTGAAAAAACATGTAAATATTAAATTAAAAAATTCGGTCACCTGACCCAATAATTTGCCGTCTTCCAGAGCTTCATCTCCGATAGTAAAAAGGTCTAGGGCCTACAAGTTTGATTATAGTTGCCCTGGAAATGGGCGATGGTCGGGCAGTCGCGGGCGGCAGCGGTGGCGGGGGAAGCAACCGGCCGGCGTGGCTACAACAATACGATCTAGTCGGTAAGATTGGGGAGGGGACATACGGGCTTGTGTTTCTGGCGAAGACGAAACTCCGCAAGAGCTGCATCGCCATCAAAAAGTTCAAGCAGTCAAAGGACGGCGACGGCGTCTCCCCCACCGCTATCCGTGAAATTATGGTATCCAAATACTCTTTATGCATTTCCGTTTTCAGTTCTATTAGTTTTACATCTTCGATCAAGTAACAGCCGGAGAAATTGATCGCCATGTGTCTCTGATGCAGTCTGTTTTATTGGATTTTTGGGTTGTACTTCAATTTCACCGGGAATTAGTATTTAGCGGGTAGAAAGAGACTTCTGGTAGAAGTTTTGCTGAAGGTATAGTGGAGAAATAAATGTCTATGTTTGAATGTGTTGAAAATATGTTGAGGTTCTAGCAGTTTTTACTTCTAAGTTGAAAGAAGGATGGCAATGGTGTCGCCCCACCGCCATTCAGGAGAAATCGAGATAGCCAAATCCACTTTTAACCTGTGCTTCCTTGGTCTTCGTCAGTTTATTTTTTGGATAGAGTAACCGTAGGAAAAGTTTGTGGCCCTGAATGTTTTCTTCGTGATATATTGTTTTGGACAATATGTTTTTTTGTTACTTTTCTTCAATAAGAAATCAGTATTTGACTGGTAGATAGCGGTTGATGTGATGCCCAGTTCTAATGTTATCAAACATTTTGGTAGCATGACTGCAATGAGAAAATTTACATGGATTCCCAAGTAGTTATACGGCAGTTTAAATAGCAATCTATGATAATTTATATCCACCATGGTGATTCAGAGCATCTAAATCTAACCAAATCAACAACTATTCCACTAAAATATGAAACCAAATTAAGTAGTCCATTTACAATTTATTTTTACAAGCATCCATCTTAGAAGTTACAATTCAATGCTTAAACAAGATTTACTTTGCCACACTTTATAAGCTAACCAGGATTAATCATAAACCTACACTCAGACTTAGCTCACCATTTTTCTTCTTTGTCTCCTTCGATTTTTAGCCAGTCCTTATCCTATTTGAAATGCTAATAGTAGCTATCAAGTTCATTGAGCCACAAATAACTCTAAAACAAACATATAAAGTAAGCTATGTAACCATGGCTAATTAAATGTGTCAATTCTAAACCATAATTAAGAATATTATTTTAGCATATTAAAGGTGAGTGAAATATCATATTATATATGAAAACATCATGAATCATACATGCATAATATAATAGTGAACAAAGCATTTGATGCGAGTATTCACTAAATTATATAATACACATCTGGGGAGGTAAGCTGAGAGTGCATGGTGGATGGAAAAGGGTGGAGGCTGAGAACGTGTATGATGGAGGGATTATTTTAGTAGGCATGTAGAAGGGGTGAGGAATCAAATATAACTTGTTGCAAGTGCTAGGCCAAGAGATGGTAAGTATTTGGGGTTTTGGTATTATGTGGAGGGCATAAAGCACGGATACTCTTATTTATGAGGCATGCTTTATCCGACACGTGTCAGATACAGATACACCTCCGATACGGCACGGATATGTGTCCGATACGGCTTTGCCGTGTCCAATTAAAATATTATTTAAATTTGACCGGACACGCGTATCAGATACTCGTGTCCTATTTAAACAACGAAAAAAAATGGAGCCGCAATTTGCCTATTCATTTCATTTATTCGCTCCATATCCCTAATATCAATTCATTTATGCGGCTTAAACATTTCAACAACCTAGGTTTTTCGTTTCCGTACAGCTATTCATCTTCTTCATTATAGTCAAAGGAGAGGTTCGACGACGCGAGTATAGAAGTGGACATGATCATCCTTCATCGACGAAGAGGCTCGACGACGCGAGCATTAAAGCCATCAGGATTATCCTTCATCGACGGAGCGGCTCGACGAGGCAAACAGTGAAGGCGACGTGAGCAGTGAAGGTTCATTTTCTTAATCGTAGGCTCTATACCGGAACTCGGTACCACTCGGTAGTTACTGGAACTCAATACTGCTTGGTAGGTACTGGAACTCAGTACTGCTCGGTACTAGAACTCAGTTCCACTCGGTACCGAAACTTGGTACCTCTTGGTACTACTCGGTACAGATGTGTATCAAATGGTACCAAGCGACATCGAGAAGCTACTAGAGAAAGCTTTAAAACAACTATTGCAGTAAAAATTTGTTGTAACCCCGCCAAGGGGTAGCGACCCCTTGGACTCTCGACATAGTCGCAACATATCTACACTTTTATTTAAAATTTTTTATGTTTCAAATTCATGTGGTTTAATTTGTGTTGATCCTTCGTAGGATAATGAGCTCTAGTGGTGTAGGAATTGGGTTTGATGATGGTCCATCAGAGATCAATATTGAAGATAACAAACCTCTATGAGGTTATGTGACAAAAATAGGTAAAATGTAAAAAGGGGGTGGCAAAATTGCATTCAAATGCGATTATTGTAATGCCACATACAAATGATTATATTATAGAGTGAAAGCTCATTTGATGAAGATTAGTGGTCATGGAATTAAAGTATGCCTGAAGATAAGCTCATCACAAATGACTGAATTGCAAAGAAAAATCAGTGAAGCTGAGTAAATGAGTGAAAAAGAGCTTCCAAAACATATTCCACTTCCAAGTATCCATGCTTCATATCCTTTATCATCTTCTTCAATTAGAAGTGATGACAATACTGTAAACAAATGGCCTTTTTGGATGGAGGATTTGAACAAAAAGGAAGAAAACATGCTGTAGATAGTGTTTTGGAGAAAACATTTAATTTACAAATGAAAGAACAACTAGATGGGAAAATAGCTAAACATTTTGTTACTTCACTTGACTGTGGTGCTAAAAGTTTTGTTTAAGGTTTCGTGATGAAATTGTGGTTTATGAATGTAGCAGAATTTTCATTTTATTTCATGTTCAATTATTTAATTTTTGTTCATATTTGTCAATTTTTGAGATATTTAAGTGTTTTTTTTGGGCAAAAGTAGGATGAAAGTAGTATCGCTTTTAAATTAATTTTAAGAATAGCAGTTTCCCATATACTCTATTAATTTTGTTACGAAGTCCAATTAGGCTGAACTAATTTTTCCACAAAATATTAAGCAATTTTAGTTATTCTATGTTTATAATTTTAATCGAGTGATCTTTTAAGAAGTTCATCAGCAAGGTAGTTTGAAAGTGGCTGAGTTAGTAATTTTTTGTGGAGAAATTTCTATTTTTATTTATATGAATTGAAGAGGTTCTGGGAATCTATCGCCTTTTCCTAATTTGCTGTTAAGCTACTGCTCATTTTTTTTAGTTTTGAAGATAGTTAAGTGATTTTTGTGGTGGATAAGCAGGACTGAGGAATTGCTTATTGTCTATTTAGTTTCAGTATAGCAATTTCTCATAAAAAATGTCAAAATGATCTCTGGATTATTTATGTGGAGCCATTTAATCCCAGACTATCTAATATGTATAATAGTTCCTTGACTTACTAAATTTGATCCAAAATAATCCAATAGACGAATTATTTTGGATAATATTTGAGGAGTTAACAAACTAAATTGAAAGTATTAGATAGTTGCGATTAAAATCAATGTTTAAAATTGCGTATACGGGTATTGAGGCATTTTTCATTCGTGAGGCGAGGCATAAACCTTAAGGCGTTTTGAGGCGTAAGCCTCAAAATCAAAAGATTGCGTAAACATAAAATGATAAATTTTTTATATACCAATGAGTGAATAATATAAAACATAAAAAAGCATAAGATATGAAGTGAAATCAAAATATCCCAATAATAAGACAACATGAAATATAGTTCAACTCAAAATTCTATCTTTCCAAAATCCCAGTATTCTTTTCATTAACATATAATTCAAATTTCCAAAAAAAAAAAAAGCAATGACATGCATAAAAACTCATAAGTCATCAGTATTGTCATCACTAAGGGGTTCTTCATTTGAATCATCATTATGATGAACTGCTCTCTCCCCTTCCTCCTCTCTTATAGAGTCCAATGTCGGGCATTTACTTCAAGATTTATGTAAGTTTTAATATATATA